AAAGGAGAAAAAGAAAAGGAAGATATTTTTTTCTTAGAAGGAAAATACCCTCGGCCTTTTATATTCTTTTTTTCTTATGTCATAATAAGTTGTTCAATGTATTCTTTTTATAATTTCTTAGAAATAAAAATAAAAATACTTAATTATATTTTAGAGCTGAGACTTGTCTAATTTATTAAAAAAAAGGTTGGACCTTAAATGTGGGCTTTTCTATCTTTCCTTTCTCAATTTGTTCGAGCAAATCATATCAGCATTCCTAAATTAGAGAACCAGGCAAACAATCACTTTTCAAATTGACTTATTTTTTGTTGTTTAGAACAAAAGCAAACATTACATAAATTTAAAATAAGATAAAGATTTCATGAATGTGACACCGTAACAGCAATGATAATTGAAAACAAGTAGAAGTCATACCAGGTTTCACTCAAATCATCTAATGACTTTTACCATCCCAATCAAGAAGGGTTTTCTTGTTAAAAATGGGAGAATCTTCTTTTTCCTTCAAATCAAACTTAGAAGTTAGCATGTAGCTTTCATGTTCTTCCTTTTTCTCTTTAATGTTGATGTTTACAGGAGCATGGCCATTATTAATTGTCCAATTTAGTGGCATTAATTTGCACGGACAAAAAATAAGCTTAGTTTGGAGACTCCGCATGTGCATCACATGCCACTTGTTCATTTGCTTCTAAATTGTCTCCAAATGAACATTTTCACCTTGGATGCCAAAACTTAGCTCTAGAAAACTTTGCAATTCATAGTTAGAGATGGAGGACTACAAAATAAAATCTTAGAACTGCATAAAGCTTGAGAATCACCACCTTTGGTAATGTTTTTATTTGCGTAGGAAGTAATTGGGTTGACAAATCTTATGTGCCACTTGTTTATAGAATATGAGTGTCAGAAAAATGCGTAGTTTTTCATTTTGGTTGGTATAAGAAAATATGAAAAGTCATTCTCAGAATTTGTGACCAACAAAACATACCGGATAAGGCTAGATAGAGTTGAGGGAAGATTTTATTTTGTTTTATTTTTCTTAGATGTCACAACTTTTGAAGCTCTCTGTTTTGAAAGAGAAGCCATTGACATTATTTGAAGGTGAACCTTTACCACATTAATAATTGTTTTATCCTTTACTTATGGGGAACATGATTCTTTCATTAGTATCATCAAAATGAAGAGCATGTAGCGTAGGAAGAAAGTCATCTCATAAAATGCAATGAAAAAAGAACTGGTAACAGGTTCGTCATGATAGTTCACAGCACTTTACAATGTTTTTGACAAGAATTTCTACAATAATTGCACCCTAAGGTCTCTAATCTCTTTGCTATTGTAGACCTTGTTTTGTTACCATCACTGATTTGGATGACAAGTGTATAATGACCAAAAGCTGGATGATTAGAAAACTATACCTAGAGTGAAGGGTACACAGTTAGTCTTTCACGACCATAACATGTTAAAGCTGCAAGCATAAGCATATCCTTTTTGTTTATTTTTATTTTCTTTTTCAGTTAGATGCTAGCAAAACAGCAAACAACTTTATTTACTTGTTCATTTATTTTGGTTCACATGCTTTGTGGTTGTGAACCAAACAGTCCTTCATATACCTCAACTAAAGAAAACAAATAAAGTTAGAAAAGCAAAAGGGAAAGAGAAACATCCTGTAATGATAAGGAAATGGGGCTTGCAAATTGCAATCAATCCGAGAACAAGCCCCCAATGAGTTGTTAGAAGGAGAAACAAAGTGGTCTAATAATGAGATTGATTTTTTAACCATGTTTGAAGGGGCCTACTGCTTGATGTCAAGCACGTTCATGTGGAGCAATTCAAGGTCCCCCCACAAAGGAGAAAAGAGAAACAAAAGAAACCAAGAACTAAGAAAATGATAATTAGAAAAGTAAAAGCAAAGCAGAAAATGAGCTATGCCCCAGGCCAACATTTTACAAAATTTGTCAGCCCCAACAGGTATTATTGTTGTTCTTTCTCTGTTGTTCTATTCATTTCCCCTTATAATATAATTGGTGTCTTTCTCCGACTACATTGCAAAACATGGGAAAGAGAGGAACAAGGTTACCAGGTTTCTGCCTCAACAGAATTAGGCCTCATGCTAGGGTGCGTTCACCACCTGCACAAGCCAACAAGCACGACAACACCACAAGTGCTACCACAACTGATCAGAAAACTGAGAATTCTTGCAATGCATGTGAGGAGAAATCTGATGAAGGGGTGAAACCCGGGTCTGCGATTAGTCGGAAGATCATGATTGTGGTTGACTCTAGCCTTGAGGCCAAGGCTGCTGTGCAGTGGGCACTCACTCACACAGTTCAGAACCAGGACACTATAGTTCTACTTCATGTCATGAAGCCTTCTAATAAACAAGGTGCAAAAACTGATCATAACATTGTTTTGTTTTTCTATTCAACTTTAACTTATTTGTTATGAATGAAAGTGATTGAGTTGAGTTTGGTTAACACAATGTAGCAGGCACTGATGAAGAGTCTAGCAAGGAAATAGCTCCAAGGGCTTATGAACTTGCTTCCTCCTTCAAGCATATGTGTCAAGTAAAGAGACCTGAGGTGAGCTTAATTAGTTCTCTTTAGACTGTATGGCATATGGTATATTTACCATTACCTATGATATTTAACATTCGCGTAGTCCTATTAAACACCTTGTTTCTAATGTGGCTCAAAATGCTACAAATAATCAAAAGTTGGTGAGGTAAAATTGTTGATTTCTTCTTTAGATTTTCAGTCAAATTGTACATTCACAATTCCATTGAATTATGATGTTGGAAAATCATCAATGCTAATAAGTGAGGCATGCATATGTACTACAAAGTGAACTCATCAATTAAGTACTTTACTCGATGTAAACGTGATAATTAAAGTTGAAGTTAACTAAATGATTCTGATAGGTACAAACTGAGATTGCAGTGATAGAGGGAAAGGAAAAGGGTCAAAAAATAGTGGAGGAGGCTAAAAAGCAAGGAGTGGCACTTCTGGTTTTGGGGCAGAAGAAGAGGTCCACAACATGGCGTCTTCTGATGATGTGGGCAGGGCACAGAGTCACTGGTGGGGTGGTAGAGTACTGCATTCAGAATGCACATTGCATGGCCATTGCAGTGAGAAGAAAAAGCAAGAAGAGTGGAGGATACATGATTACCACTAAGCGTCACAAAGATTTCTGGCTCTTAGCTTAATCAATGAATGAATCCTATGGGGTGGTGTGAGCTTCAAGATTATACAAGTATAAATCATTAATCATGTGTTGTTGTGTCTGTAATCCACAATGTTTGTACATAATAAAGTGTGCAGATAATGAAAAAGAAAAAAAGGATTGGAATTATGAGTGGAAAAGTGGCACGGTGTCATTATGTGGGCCATTATCCACAATGGTATTGGGTACTACGTGGTGTCACTGGGAAATATAGTTCCTCAAGAATGCTACAGAGGCAGCATCAGAGCATGTGATGGATGATGAGGTACTTAGGATGAAAAAGGGCTTCACAACAAATACACGAACATTTATGGCTGGAGTAATTGATTAACTTAATTTTTTTAATTATAAACATAGATCAACTGAGTTCATAATTTTACATAAAAGTAAAGGTAGCCCTACCTTTGATACTAGTTAAATAATTTAAGGATAAAATTGCTGACTGTGTTTATCACCAGTTAAATTAAAATTTCACATTAGTCAGTTTTGTTTACAAAAGTATCAAAATTATCAAGAAAAAACTCTGATTATAATTAATTGGAGAATAATATGTAGAATACCTATAAATGCATATAAAATTTAGAGAAGTTATCAAGAACACTTTTTCACACTCTTTTTAACCCACTTTTTAATTGGTTAAAATTTATTCAAAATTACAAAATCATGGAAGAGCCATTAAGTGAGTTGTAACATCTACTAAACCACCATCAATTAATCTCTCAATTTGACAACCATTAGTTAACTGGCTGATGTACATCAAAATCAGAAACCAAAATGACTTATAGTTGTCAAACTCAAGGATTAAATGGACAAATCATTTAACATTTAAGACTGAAGTCATTCCCAATTAATTTCAAAGAGGGACTTTTTTTCACATTTTAGACAAAAATAATCACTATTTACAATCTTTAATGTTTAGGGTTAAAGGTAAATTAAAAATAACCTTTTTTAATAATAATTTTTTTATCTTTTCATATAGACTTAAATTATTATTTTTTAAAATAAAGGAGAAAATAAAAAGTGTCCCTTTCTATTGTAATTTTTGTTTATTTAACTTGGAACTATTTCCACCAAGCAAACATGGTCCTTCAGTCCAATTTTCGTTGGACCTAGATTGAAATGAAACCCTGTGTCCATAAACTTTATATATTAAAAGAAAATTAGAAAAACATAAAAGAAAAAGAAATTAACTTGTTCACACGTTAAAATCAACTTGTGCAGAAATTAAAAAAAGAAAAAAGAAAAAAAGAGAGACAATTTTCAAGATATTTTATAAAAGAGGTTTTACAAGTAAATTTGGAGAAAGTTATTCTATTTTTACTTTTTTTTCGTGTTTGTATATTTTCAAAACACTTCTTTTTTGAAAAAATATTTTTCGAAACTTTATAATTTATATGTTTAAAAACTTAGTTTTCAGAATGTATTAAAAGTTTTAATACTTTTGATCAATATTTCAGAATATGCTAAAATTGTAATAAATCCAAAAACTAAATTTAAGAATTGATAATTTGACTACCAAAACACCCCATCTAAAACTGACCAAGCTTTTTCCGTGGACTGTTTCCTTCTGTTTGGGAAAAAAAAAAACATTTTAGATAAATTAATACAACTTGAAAAATTAGAAGAAGCACATCTAGAGTTGTCTCCAGCTACTAGCCACTAGTTGACCATTCAATATGAAAAAAGTTTAGTTGACGCAGTGAAGCAATCTGAACCCCTTTGCTATAAAGATAATATATGATATCTGTGGATAATCCAAGTCTCCACCCCAGATTCCTCTGTTCACCATGAAAGACTCTCACATAGTAGAGTCAAGTAGGTATGCCAGTAGCTTTGCACTGCACCTCTTTTTGTTGTCGTCACTGTTCTTCGATTTGGTCACTTGTGGTTCAATTAATGTTCCAGATACAGTGCTCCTAAATTGTGGTTCTAATGAAGCATCACAATTCAATGGAGAAAATTGGATAGGAGATGTTGGATCTAATTTCTTGCCACCAGAGTATGAAAAGAGTTCATCTCCACTCTTGATCTCGAACATACACTCTGGAGAACCAAAAGTTCCATACTCAACAGCAAGAATAACCTACTCTCCATTGACCTACTCGTTCCCTTCCTCCCCTGGCCTTAAATTCGTTCGAGTTTACTTTCTCTCATCTTTATATCTGATGATGAACCCCTCCAAGGCTTATTTCTCAGTAAAAGCAGGCCCATACACTCTTCTAAGTGATTTTAATCCTTCTGTTTTTGCAGAAGAGCTTAACTTGGTGTCTTTCACCAAGGATTTCTTAGTCAATGTTAGGGAAGACAAACTGAACATTACATTTACTCCATCTCCTTTAATTTCCAATGCATTTGCCTTTGTAAATGGCATTGAGACATTCCCAGTGCCCCACACTATATACTTTCCAGGTTCCAAGATTCCTGTTCCGTATATTGGGCAACAAAAACCTTTGTTTATTAATGGTGAATATGCTCTTGAGACGCTTTACCGTGTTAGCATTGATAGTGACCTCACTGATGTTAAAAATGCTTTTGGATTATGGTTAGATGATGATAGATACATATCCAGTTCACAATATGGAAGTGTCCTCGATATAAAGTCTCGTACTGTTTCCTTGAATTACACCATCTTATCTTCAAAGGATTACAATTATTCAGCACCAGCAGAGCTATATTTGACTGCCAGGACCATGGATAGTAATGGAGATGCTAACATCAAGTACAACTTAACATGGTTTTTCCCTGTTGATTCAGGATTCAAATACCTTGTTAGGCTTCATTTCTGTGAGATATCTATGATGGTGACGCAGCCCAATCAAAGGGTGTTCAAGGTGTACATAAACAACCAAACAGCTGAGGAGAGGATGGACGTAGTTGCGTTAGCTGGTGCACCACTTACTCCTGTACACAAGGACTACGTTGCTATGGTTCCTAACGAAAGTGGGAGAAGGAATTATTTGTCGATCTCACTTCACCCTAACATGGAGCCAAAACCAAAATATGCTGATGCCATACTGAATGGAATTGAGATCATGAAGATAAGTGATAGCGATGGTAGTCTTGCAGCAATGTTCCAATTCAGACGGGAACAAAGAAATAAGAAATTTCAACATGTCATTATTGTGGCTGGTGCTACCTTAGGTGCCATTTTGGGACTGCTCTTAACATCTTTTATTCTTATCAGCAGAGCACGGAAAAAATTGAAGTGGAGAACTTCTCATATACTCCCATCAAATTCTAGTAGTAGTCACAAAAACATTCAACCAACAGTAACCTCAGGTCTTTGCCATCAATTCACATTTGCAGAAATCAGCATAGCAACAAGCAACTTCAGTGAAGCTCTTGTCATTGGGGAGGGAGGCTTCGGAAAGGTGTACAAAGGCATCATGCAACATGATGGATATACTCCTGTTGCAGTAAAGCGCTCTAATCGTAGTTCTCGCCAAGGATATAAAGAGTTTCAAAATGAGATCAATATTTTTTCATTTTGTCACATGAATTTAGTTTCACTGTTGGGATACTGCCAAGAAGCAAATGAACTGATACTTGTCTATGAATACATGACTCAAGGCCCTCTGTGTGACCATTTGTACAAGAAACAAAAACAGCCACTGTCTTGGATTCAAAGACTAAGGATTTGTGTTGGTGCAGCTCGAGGAATTCACTATCTCCACACTGGCACGACCCACCCAGTGATACATCGTGATATCAAGTCAGCCAACATATTATTGGATCAGAATTGGGTTGCCAAGATTGCAGATTTTGGGTTGTGTAGAACGGTTCCCTCACTTTGCCACTCACATGTTAGCACTGAGGTTAAGGGCACTTATGGGTATTTAGATCCTGAGTACTATAAGAGAAGAAAGTTGACTGAAAAATCTGATGTGTATTCATTCGGAGTGGTTTTGTTTGAGGTGTTGTGTGGAAGACCAGCTGTGAATCCCGTGGCAGTGGAAGAGGAAAATGAGAAAGTTGGGTTGGCCACCTGGGCCATGCACTGTTACCAGTGTGGAACCGTTGATAAATTAGTTGATCCTCATTTAGAAGGGAATGTTAGGGCAGAATGCCTGAGAGATTTTGTGGACATAGGCATCCAGTGCTTAGCTAATAGAAGTGCAGATAGGCCAACTATGGGGGAGGTGCTGAGTTCGTTGGAGAAGATTCTTTGCTTGCAGGAATTTTTTTTGAAAGGCAACTAGCAATTTTATTCATGATGCAAAGGCCATTTCCATACATGCATAATGAGATTAATGTAGTCATTACTTGTGATAAACTTCGTATGCAATAAACCTGACCAAGAAGTAATGTATTGCAGCAAATCGCTTATAGACCAAAGTTTAGTCGAGTTAACTAGTTTTTTACTGTGTACGAGGCAGATTTTATTTTGTCTGTTGAGTGGCTGTAGGCTGTAGCATTTGTTAGGATCGAGCGCTTACCACTAGGCCAAAAGCTATAGCCTTTAGTCAGAGCGCAACTCTTTTTACTTTAACAGCCCAAGCGCCACGATTCAATTGTGACTCGGCCCACCTGACCTTCGTCACAGGACAATTGATGCTACCTGCAACAATCTCCCCCTCAGCAATTGTCCTACAAGGTATCCCACTCTTGGATTGTGACTTGGCCCACCCGGCCTCTGCCACGGGACAATTGTGCAACCTGCAACAATCTCCCCCTCAACAATTGCCCACCAGGATCGACTAACAATTGGTATCAGAGCCAAGGTCATCACGAGTTCGATTCCTGGTGGGCAATTGTTGAGGGGGAGATTGTTGCAGGTTGCACAATTGTCCCGTGGCAGCAGGCCGAGTGGCCAAGTCACAATCCAAGAGTGGGATACCTTGTAGGACAATTGGCGAGGGAGATTGTGCAGGTAGCATCAATTGTCTGTGACGAAGGTCAGTGGCAGTCACAATTGAATCGTGGCGCTGAGTCGTTAAAGTAAAAAGAGTTGCGCTCGATACCAATTGTTAGGATCGAGCGCTTACCACTAGGCCAAAAGCTATAGCCTTTAGTCAGAGCGCAACTCTTTTTACTTTAACAGCCCAAGCGCCACGATTCAATTGTGACTCGGCCCACCTGACCTTCGTCACAGGACAATTGATGCTACCTGCAACAGCATTGTCAATCACATTGAATAAATGACCCGCCAAAAATTTAGAATTGACAATAAGGACAATTTCACTACCCTTTCGTCAAGGCTTCTTCTAGAAAAGAAAGTGATCCTCCGCTGTCATGTCGTAGCAAACAAGCAATACCGCAGAAAAGAGATATTTTATCGAATAGTAGACTTCTACATAGAACAGTTCACAGATTTATATTGGCTGGATTTTGGAATATACTATCAATAGGAAATATACAAGTTTTACTAGTCAAGTCGTTGTTCGAATTGACCAGAAAGAAAGCAATCTTTTGTTGAAAATTCAAAGTATTAGGACAAAGTGCTAAAGCTGGCCATTTTTTCCATTCCGAGATATCTTTGTTTAGACACAAGAATGATACACAGAATTATGGATACTATCACATGCTCTACGTACATTTTTATCTTGTGTATCTTACAATTACATCTATTTTCAGTTGCTGATAATGCCAGTTATGTTCCTAGGGAGAACATAGTTCTCAACTGCGGCTCCAACATATCAGAATTTGTACAAAATGATGGCAGGAATTGGAGTGGTGACGTTGCTTCACCATATGTTCCGTCCAATGCTGAAACCAAGTCCCGTATGGCCAGGGCTCCTCACACCCTTCAATCTATTCCAGAAGTACCCTACATGACTTCTAGGATCTTTCAGTCTCAATTTACCTACACGTTCAATGTAACCCCAGGTCCCAAATTCATTCGCCTTCACTTCTACCCAGCTTCCTACTTGGATCTCAACATCTCCAATGCTTTTTTATCAGTAAGTGCTGCTAACTGCACTCTTCTCCGCAACTTCAGTGCTTCCCTCAACGCTGATTACTTCAACTTAGCCTATTTCATGAAAGAATTCATTGTGCATGTAAATGGGAGTGTTTTACAACTCACTTTTGCCCCATCGTATAATGATTCTGATGCCTTTGCTTTTGTGAATGGGATTGAAGTTGTCTCAATGCCACTTAATTTATACACTAGTGGTGATGTCCCTCTTCTTTTAGTTGGCCATGGTTCCAAAGTTGTGTACATAGAAAATGATTCTGCCATGGAAAACTTGTACAGATTGAATGTAGGAGGTGAACAAATCCCACCTAAAGATGACACGGGCATGTTTCGGAGATGGGACACCGACGAAATTTACATTTTAGGGACTGATTTGGGTATTCAACTCTCAAATATGAGCATGCCAGTTTTGTATACTAATCATGTTTCACCATATTCAGCCCCAGCAGATGTGTACCGCACATCCCGTTCAATGGCAAGTTTTGATGGTGGACTTGTAAATTTAAATTACAATATGACATGGTTTTTTCCCGTTGATTCGGGTTTCCTTTATATAGTTAGACTTCACTTCTGTGAACTTGATACATATATAACAAAGATCAATCAGGCAGTTTTTTCTGTGTTTTTAAATAATCAAACAGCTGACGAACAACTCGATGTAATTGCTTGGAGTGGGGGCCCCGGAATTGCTGTATACAGGGACTATGTAGTGTTGGTTCCCCATGTTATCGAGGGAAAGCAGGATTTGTGGCTTGATCTGCACCCATACAAGGATTCTAAACCTATGTACTATACTTCTTACTTGAATGGTGTGGAGATCTTTAAACTGAGCAACTTTGGTGATAAGAATCTTGCAGGGCTCAACCCTTCTCAAAGTGTCATTTCTGGATCGGAAGTAAAGGCTCCCCGTGTTGTACAAATAAAGAAACTCAAATTCATCCTCGTTGGATGTGGACTCGGTACAGTGGTGCTATCAATTCTCCTTTGCTTAGTAGTTCTATACAAGTTAGGGGTGATTAGGCCTACAAGGGTCATGTCATGGTGCGGTCTTGTTGTACACAGTCCTGATCAAGTTGAAAAGGCAAAGAAGTCATCACTTTGCACTTACTTTTCATTGAGAGACATAAAAGTGGCTACAAATGACTTCGATGAGGCTTTACTTACAGGCATTGGTGGATTTGGCACAGTTTACAAGGGTACCTTCGACGGTGGTGCAACTTATGTGGCCATAAAACGTGCCAACCCAATGTCAGAGCAAGGTGTTTCAGAATTCGAGACAGAGATTCTTTTGCTCTCACAACTTAGGCATCATAACCTAGTCTCTCTTTTGGGTTATTGCAATGAGGAAGGGGAGATGATATTGGTATATGATTTCATGGCCAATGGAAGTCTACATGATCATCTTCATTTGAGGCAGAGAGATCAATCCCCTTTGGCTTGGATTCAACGTCTTGAGATATGCATTGGAGTTGCAAGAGGTTTGCACTACCTTCACACTGGCACAAAGCACAGGATCATCCACCGTGACATCAAGACAACCAACATACTCTTAGATCATAATTGGGTGCCCAAAATTTCAGATTTTGGGTTGTCAAAGGCAGGTTACCTTTCCTCAGCCACCACCAACGTGAAGGGTAGCATTGGTTACCTAGATCCTGAGTGCTATCAAAGCCACAAGTTGTCTGAGAAATCTGATATATACTCACTTGGGGTGGTGTTATTAGAGGTTCTTACAGCAAGGGCAGCTGTGAGTGTAGGTGAAGATGATGAGCATATTAACTTGGCTGAATGGACTACGTTGTGCTTTGAGAGTGGCAATGTGGAGCAAATAGTTGATCCCAACTTGAAAGAAAACATAATTAAGGAGTGCTTTGAGTTATACTTAGGAGTTGCAATGAAATGTTTGGCTGAAAGAGGGGTAGCGAGGCCATCCATTGGTGAAGTGTTAGAGAACCTTGTTCTGGCAATGCATCTTCAGAAAAATGAAGGTACTGTCCCAGATAGAAATGTACATAAAAATGATAATGCTGTTTTGCAGGGTAATTCAGATTTGACACCTGGGGTTGAGTTCTCTGAAATCATGATGCATACTGCTCGGTGAATGTGATCTTTCCCCCAAACTAATTGCCTTGATGCTGTTAGGTCTGCAGACATTTGTATTTCAAATAATGTGTTGTAGGAATCAAAAGCTTTGACTAATTCCTATTTTGTGAAAATGTTAATTGGGGGTTAGACACTGACCAGAAATAATTTGTCCTGTACTACTCCTGCTAGATTTTCTACTTATTATGCAGAAGACGTAAATGAATATTAGGAAAGCATTTGCTGCAATTCTGAGCTCTCTTCTGAACATTCCGTAAACAACAGGTCAATTGGTTCATACAAATGGCTCACGGCAATTACTAGTATGTAATGTAAGGGGAATTCTGCATGCATCCCCTTTAAATACTCTGTTGGATATCTTAGTATACTCCATGCGGCAATGTAACTACGTAAGAATTATTCCAAAATTGATGTAAAAAATCTCTCTAGTGGTGTGTTTCTTTCTTAATTTGGTATCAATACTCTGTGAAGCTTTCATTTTTTTTTCCAGTAATAATAGTTCAAATAAGGATAGTTTACCACGTAGCAAAGATCCTTCTTATTTAGCATTAATAAATCTTTAACATTCCAATAGTTTAAGAAACTAACCATTTAAGAACAATGTCTATGTTGAAAGGCAATACTAATTGGTTCCACATTTAAAGAAATTTCAACAGTTATACTCTCTTATTTACGTTATTTTAATATTAAACTATCTAAAGCCTTAATAAAAATAAATCTATTCTTTGATCTCACAAATTGCGTAATGAATTTACATTTAATTTAAAATAAATATAAATATAACATTGTAAACTCTCAAATTTATTCATAATATTCATGAACCTTATACTTCTAACAAAAATCCCATGCCTCCCACGGGTTAACGTCTAATTTAAATAATTAACAGTCTAAGTATAAAACTTAAATGTTGTCATATTTTAAAATAGGGATTGAGTTTCAATCATCAAAAGTAGACTTTATTATTTCATTGACCGCAACTCATGAAATGTGAAAATTATGATGAATTATTATCATAATTGTTCTGATGTCTGATTACACTAACCTAAGTAAGGTTATAGCATTTGATATTGTTATCCATATTCATATTTAATAACTTGCCACCATTTTATATTAAAAAACACATGTCGGCATAGAATACTCCAATTCAAAACAAATAACTCCAATTGCAAGATGCCAATACAGATACCCCGTGTGGACCAGGCAAAACAAACTTGGAAAATAATGGTCAAGTTCATTAATATAACTACTCAATCAGTCAACTTATATCCATCAAATCACGAAAACAAGTAAGTGTAAGTATTCATGGCATTCAGACTTTACATTTGACCAGAATTTTTAAAAATTATTCACACTAAGTGTATTATAGGTATTTTTAAATTAAAATGAAATAGATAATCAAAGGCTGAGTCTATCTTCACACTTCAAGGATGATTGGGTGTCTCCAGCTACAAGACACTGTTGACCTTTCTATACAAAAAAGTTAGACCACACTACAAAATGCTGACACATCTGCTATGAAGATAACATAATTTTACAAATAAACTCAACCTATGCCTTCACACCATATTCCTGCCACCATGAAAGAATCCACATAATAGAGTAAAGCGGGTATGTCACCATTAACAGTGTACTGCACCTCTCTTTGTTGTTACCATTTATCCATTTAATTAATCACTTGTGATCTAATTAATGTCCCGGATAAAATCCTCCTATACTGTGGTTCTTACGAAGCATAAGTTGGAAGTCTTATATATAATGTAATATAGTTTAAATATATGTTACACTCACTACTGCACAAAAGGTTTTTTACGTCGGTTAAAATGAGATTTTTACGTCGATTAAAGCGGCGACATAGATACGGGGTCATAGAAAGCCCTACTTTCTATGAGCTATTATAATCGGTCAAAACTGGTTCTGATCGGTCATAGAGCTATTATGATCGATCATAACTGGTTCTGATCGGTCATAGAAAAACTTTCTACGTCGGTTAGTCAGGGAACTGACGTAGAAAGTCTTTTTTTCTATGAGCTATTCTGATCGGTCATAACTGGTTCTGATCGGTCATAGAGCTATTCTGATCGATCATAACTGATTCTGACCTGTCATAATACTTTCTATGTCGGTTAACACTGATAACCGACATAGAAAGTCTTACTTTCTATGTCGGTTAACACTGATAACCGACATAGAAAGTCTTACTTTCTAACTTTCTATAACCCCGATATCTATATCGGTTAACGATGAACCGTGATTGTATGTGTTATCAATGTCGGTTATGCCTATAACCGACATAAAATGTTACACTTGAGCGTAGAAAGTGTTATTTTTTTTAAAATACTCGCATTTTCTTTACGAGATGCTACCTTTCTTCGAGTAGATCTGCCTATTCATCACGGTTCCAGACAAATATTCACAGATCCAAGCATGCACGGATATGCACAGTTCATATATAAATTTGCTACGGATATATATCTAGTACAGACAGATCCGATTCATGCATGGATATGTACATATGAAACATATTGAAATCAATATATGTACCTCGGTTCCAGACAGTTCATTTACTTAAACGAATGTAAATTTGCTAACTTAAATCAATTCAATCTAAATTGTTACAAGTCAAATTTGCTATGAAGATTGAATACTTAAAAGGAAAGAAGCCCACTTGCTCTCTAATATCGTCTAACACTTCAATCTTCATTGGAGATGAGTCTCGTAAATTCCTACGTATTGAAACATTTCGATTTAGAAATCATTTACATAATTGGCATATTTGACTTAATTATAGTATATTTACCTCCCTCCATGAGCCCATAATATTTTTGGCTACGATGGTGTGCATGTGCTTCATCACATAATACCCGCACTCATGGCTTCCCGGTTGGCGTGGACACTACAAGTTAAATACATGTCGGATTAACTTTAAATGACAAATTGAACAACGAGTAAGAGGTGTTTGGTCACCTTTGGTGCAATATACGTCAACTTCTTTCTAGCATGAGATGGAAGGCCTTGCAACCTTAGGTGAGCTTCCAAAGATCTACAAAAGGACAAATAATTTTGGTGTAAGTAGTGCACATATGATACAACAATTAAAAAAACCAAACTTACGCGTCTATGTGCTTTCTAATATCCAAATCATTTGGTTTCTTGTGTAATGAACACAAGAGAATCACAAGAAATTGCCGAGGAACAATGATTATGAGCTGCCAATGACCCTTGCACGTTGAAATAATATTAGTAAAACTTCAGTTTTACATAAATGTGCATTAATTTATAAGATGTATACTTACTGATGCAAGTAAGGTGCTAAGTAGACTTCTTTGCCCCCAGTTTGAAATGCCTCTATTAAGTACGTTTGCACCTCTTCAGCTTTATTCCCAACGGGCTGAATGGCAACAGGGTCAACAAATCCATAGAGAAAGTGAATTTTCCTCTCAACACACAAACGATGTAAATACCTTCAACATTGAAAATAAATAAAGTTATAAAATAATGTACCAGTGAGAATATAAAAAATATGTAAATATACTTACATTTCCCAAAGCTGCAACACCGATACACATAGCATATCGAGTACCAAGTGAGAATATCAAAAATATCCCTTTGGAGTAAGAAAAAAGGGATCGTCTTGGTCCTGCATACGACTTCGGGTGGCATATCTAACTGTATGGAAGTGGTCCCGATAGTCGCTGCTAGTGCACCGACTCGCTGTAAAGCAGATGGTGGTGATGGTGATTCATGCACAACTTCCTTTGCTTTTTCAGCCTCTTTCTATACAAGTACCAAAAATCAATAACATTAATATACATCAACCTATCAAAAAATAATAAGTACTATCGTTCAATGCATAAATCAACCTGTGCATGTGTTGGGATGGGTCTTGTTAATGAAACTGGCCATAAGATAAAATTTCCAGGTGCCTGTCCCACTGTTTGAACCTCTTCAACTTCAAGGCATCTTGTCCAAGCTCACGAATCATTTCCTCCAGCTGATCATCCATCTCTAGATCAACTTCTTCTTTGTCTTCTACACTTGGCATGTTTAATAATTCACCATGCTATGTCCACTTTATGTAACTCTTTAGGAAACCATCACAAAGAACATGTTCCCGAATAACTTCAGTCAGTAATCTTCGCTCATTCAAGCAGTTAACACAAGGGCAATAGAATCTTCCATCATTATCCGGAACATTCATCTTAGCAAATTCAAGGAATTGTTCTACTCCACTCTCATATTCATTTGTTGTTCGTCTATAATTGATCCAACTCCAATCCATTGTTACAAATCTAATTTTCAAAATCAAATTAGCTACAGAAACACGAAATAACTACATTATAATGCCTACACGAAATCCAACTCCACTCTCAAAATAACTACATTATAATACAAATCTAATTTTCAAAATCAAAATCACGAAAGAATGCCTACAGAAACACATTCAAATGACTAAACTACTTACAATACATCTCTAAATTAGCTAAAGGCACCCGTGATGTTTCCCTCTCTTGACAGCATTATTACTTACCAGATTTAATACTGTAAACCTACAATGGCTAAAGCAAGCACGAAAACTTACCTCTTGAAGACCTACAGATACTAGTGCAAAAAGGGGCTTTTACGTCAGGTATTTAGGGTTTTTTACGTCATATTTAAGTCCGACGTTAAAGCGGGAGACGTAAATTTACGTCGGACACTTTTGCCCGACGTAGATTTACGTCAGTTATCAAGATCTGACGTAGATTTACAATAAACAGACGTAAAATCCTTTTCAATTTAAAAAAAAAACAGAAAATTTACGTCGTATATGGTATACGCGACGTAAATTTACGTCGCATATACCAATACGCGACGTAAATTTACGTCGCATATACCAATACGTGACGTAAATTTACGTCGCATATTGGTATATGCGACGTAAATTTACGTCGCATATACCAATATGCGACGTAAATATACTGTTTTTTTTTTAAAATTGGGTTTATTTATTCTGTTTTA